GATCGAAAAATCCGAGTCTCACTATCATAGAATAAGACAGGCCTTACTGTGGCCTTGTAGGCATGGCCTTTCAGACCGAGGGAAACCATTTTCTGACACCACAGATGTCGCAGATTCAATAAAGCAGTTCTAGATCTTGCAGTGCGTGAACTGACTTCAGTCGTTATGCATCCATCGTTACTGATGCAGATGCTAAGGAAAGTGGATTCATCAACCAAATCGAGTTCCTCGCTGTTTAGGCTCAAGGGTTCATCAAGTGCGTGGTGGTCCGACAGCAACACGCAAGATGCGGAGCGAATACCAAATGATGGGACCAGTCTAGAGAGGTTACTCAGTGTTGATAGGGCCGCCCCAATATCGTTCAATAGCAAGACGATATCGTCCGCATAACCAAGATAAACTAGATTTTCCCCAGGCAACACCTCGACGACTGCATCGTGAGATTCCACAAGGGAACACTCTATGATGGAGTCCACGATGAGATTGAACAAAAACGGGGAAATTGGACAACCCTGGCGAACGTCACTTGTTGTCAGAAAGCTATCCGACAGATCACCATGGACCTTGATGCTGCTTGGATCGTTCGAGCACACAGCACGTAAAATGCTCACATATTTCATTTGAACGCCTTTAGAACAGAATGCATCTATCGACTGCATCGAACGCACTCATGAAGTCCGAGAACACAGCTATTGTCGGTCTGCGGTACGCGTGGCGCTGTTCTAGCACCTGCCGTAGAGTGAATATGTGATCTCCGCAGACACGTCCTGGGCGGAGACTTGTCTGATGCTCCCTAATCCGGGATTCCCGTTCTGCAGTGAGGCGACGAGTGAGAATTGAGGCCAGTAATTTTGTCACAACTGGCGTTAGGCTAATATATCTGTGGTTTCACAGTCGGTGTGACTCCCCTTCTTGTCTATATTGCCACTATAATCGGTTCACTGTAGTTAGTAAGGACAGTCTCCTCCTTACATATGTGTTCGGATAACGAGGTCAGTGCTTTGCAGAGGACCTCACCTCCATCCTTAAGTAGTTCAGATGGGAGGGGATCCTGGCCAGCAGCACGAAAACGGTTGAGGGCTGTAGTCGCGTTTCGCACCTTAGCTTCCGATGGAGCGTTTAAACTAACCGTCCACGGTTCAGCTGAGTAGGAGAACTTCCAGAAGTAAGAGGCTAACTGAACTGATCATGAAAATGCTTTGCCCAGCGAGCCATGCGGCGCTGATTATTGTGAATCAGTGCACCCGCGCTGTCTCTAATTGTTTCACTGGCGCCCGGTTTCCTGTGACTAGTGGTGCGGATCAGCTGGAAGAGTTTGCGATAATTCCCTACTGCTCCCACCTCCTCCATTTTTTGAGCCCGACTAGTCCACCTTGCATCCTTGTCAGCGCGCAAGCTCCGCTTTAGTTCGCGCCTACTAGTCCGTCTGGTGACATAGTGCTCAGAGACAATTAGGCGTTTTCTTCTGGTTTCCATCAGGTTCACCGACCTCTTGGATATCTAGTGTTTGGCGCGATGACGATTGATAGTACCACAAGTAGACGCACCTGAGTCGTGCATGTTTGCTGAGATCCCACTGAAGGTTAGTGTCATTAGGACAACACAGCGAATGTTCGATGCGCACATCCTGGTATGCTTACTTGACCGAGGGCTGAGACAATCTCCTCCCCGTTGCCAATCGGGGGAGATGCTTTGTGCTCTACCCGGTGAAGTTCATGGGAACACGACAGCGTACCAAGGCATGATCAGAGTCGACGCAGGTATTCCAGAACGAGCGGCAATTCAGGATTGAACTACGCTATCTGTAACTTATGGCAGTGCGACCAATTTGGGTCCATTGCTGGCCAGCTACAGGAGGACGCCAAGTGGCACTTCGGTACCCACTGGGTCTAAAAGCACTGCTGCTAAGAAACATCTGGTGCTCCGCACATAGTTGAAGCAGACGCTAGCCGTTGTCGGTCCGTTCGGAGTTAAGCCCATACTTACCACCTCACTGAGCTTCTGAAGATCTCATACGGCCGTCTTGAGCTTCCCTATCCCTTGCAAGTACAATCATACTTGAACTAGCAGCACTGCGTAGTAGCGTGTTCAGTACGTGATAGAACGTGTCCTTAGCAGCATCAGAACTGCAGTCGGTAGGAGCATAAACGGAAACGACAAACAAACATCGTTTTGTACTACTTCGTGAATCAACCTTAGCTGATGTCGTCAAACGGGCTGCACACAAACGGATGTCCACGGGAATCCAGCGTACCAGTGATGACTATCCTTGGAGGTAAGAATGATGCATATGCCAGCTTGACCAGTGGCTGACGCACCAGCGTTTCCGTATACGTGCAACCGATAGCAAGAGGACAATTCGGGCGCAGTTACTTCAACAATCTCTTGAGGATCATTGCTGCTAGTTTCGGACACACATGCGTGCGTGCGCAGCCTATTGACCTATTTGTCTTATAGTGTGTACGTTGAACGCTGCCATGGAAACGGGACAGCTTAGCCTTATGAGAAGCTGTTGACGATAGTTCTCCAGTGAATGGTGCTTGGAGGTAGCTGCATATAGTTCGACTCCAGTGGCATTACGGCCGCTGTCAAAAGAACGGAATCATAGAAGGTTAGTACTTGGGGTTGTGAGGGGAGTAAGAGAATCAGGTAGATGGATTTGCATGGAGGTGCTAGCGGTAGCATGTTTTCGCTTATTCGCCCCGCTGTATGCAGTACTTAAGGCGACCCCTGGTAGTCTGCTTTACGGCCGATTCAGGATGTGGTTGAAGTTTGAAGAATCATTAGCTGGTCATCTCACTGTCAGAATTGGGGAGCTACACCCACTTCTTTGATTTTTGTGGCCATGAAAATATTGACCATACTCTCGCAATGCAGATCTTACCTTGTCATGAGCATCCTGTTTGTTACTTTGTAGATTTAGTCGGCTTTCTGCTGATTATGGACATGCGCTGTGGTCATTCTCAGCAACATACTCCACGAACTTGTTTCCGTTTAGTCTCTTTGAACGTCTCCCTTATGGCTGATTAGTTCTCCTTACCGGAGCATTTTGTTAGAGGTTTCAGCACCAGCCGAATGGGATCTTTTCTGATTCTTAGCAAACACTGAACCTAAAATAAATCCACGGTTTCTACGATCTTTGTATTTACTAATCCCCGATTTAGACTGTGTACTCTTGCTGCTTATGAGAATCGGTGTTTTTCTCGCAAAAGACACCGACTTAGTCCCTAAGCTTCACGAAATCTGTTATAACATAGCACATTGCAGCAACCTTCTGTTTTGTTCCATTGGTCCTTTTGTATTGTCCGAAAGACTGGCTATTACCATTAGCTTTTAAACGTGTTTTCTAGCATGAGTCCAGCCATCCGTACCATTGATGGCGCTTCTTTCTTTTGCGAGACATTATAGAAAGTGTTTAATAAGGTAAAATGGTTCACGAACTCATCGTTTAGTTCAGGGTCCGGTTACCGTTTTTCTAACATCTCACACGTGCATATACCGCTATAAATGCGAAATCTGATCCACCTCTCGGCTGCCTACACCATCTTTCTGCGCGTATGGGTCCTGATTGCCAAGCCACAATAGTCGACGTATTTTTGTGATCATGCTTTCGGAAATTGAAGCATGATAAACTCCACAATCTCCTGGTCACTAGTTGTTTGCTCTTTGTTTTGATTCTTGTTACCTGTGCACCACTTCAATGACACAACCATTGATTCCCATCAGATTTGTGTTTACCGAGGCTAAAAACCCAAATCCTCGCTTATCGCAACATGCGATTTCGCGATGCTTATATCGTTTTTTCTCTGGGCAACCTTGTCATGTGTGTGTTTTGTTTTGTAACTTTCCAAATCTCTCACTGCCTTGGCCGATTAACTGTCGGAGTTCGAATGCTGTGTTCAAGTGACTACGCTGCAAGTCCGCCATCTGTTTTGCGGCATTTACTTTATTTATCTCTTCATCTGAGCCACTACGTGGCCACGTGAGGTTATTGAGTCAGTCCATGGAATTACTATAAAGTTTCACTACTTGATGCATTGGTCGTTTGACCCAATCACTTGTACGTCTGTTTGTGTAAGAAGCGCTCTGGATCGAAGCATCTCAGAAACAGTATCCGAACCAGAGCTTTGTATATCTCGCGATGTTCTTTCGCATGAATACTTTGATCGTTTCTACGTCCCTAACTCCTGACAAGATCGCATAATTGTAACTGACAATATGAGTTGCATTAGAGGCGTACATTCTAGCATGTAGGAACTCATTAGATTCATCGTGCACCTGCACAACCGGACAGCCGTTTCCAGCTAACACTTTCATTTTTAAGTATAAGTATGCTAACGGTCGAGCCACGGTTGCAGATGACCTCTTCGACTTCTTTGTCCTCCGTGGCTCAATAAACAAAATTGGTGCTCCTCTAGGTAAACAGAGTGTGTTATCAAAGTGAGGATTCGACACTAATCTTCGTATCTTGCCTGCTTCCCCAACTACCTTTCCTCTATTTTTGCAACACTCCACATGCCACACCGCAGTTTTCCGGTACTAACATTCCTAGCTCCACTGAAAATTCCACCAGCTAGTCTCTCACCACTCTGAACAGCATCTACTCAAAATGTTTTACTCTGGCCAATCGCATAACTGCTCCATCGAGGATCCCTGAGAGGACGCACACTTTATCCACACTGCACCCAAATCGATGCGGTCGTTTTTGTTGATTTGTTGTCTCCCACCCGTTTTCACACAACTGACCATGAGGACGAATTAACTTTTCGTTAGTCCGTTTGTCTTCCTCTGAATTAGTTTGTTTGCAGCAACAGAGCGAATTACACACTAAAGTGCGAATGTTTATATCAAAATGGCGTTATGTACCAACAACACTCCATTTCAAATCGACTTCATCAGAATGCGATTTGGCCATAGTGCACATGAATGCTATCCACATGTCTCCATTCCTTCTCTACTTTTCTTCGACCCAGTTTGTGTTTATTCCTTTGCGTTCACAGGGGATGCTGATCTCGACGAGATTAGTCCACTTTCTCATAATCAAAACTGTGGAAAAACGGGTAGAAAACCTCGACGCGGCAAAAAGAGTTTAGCTGCTGTGTTGGACTACAAAACGGCCATGGAACCAAGCGAAAACCGAACCAGGTATGGCGATTGTTTTTGCTCTCAACAACCACCTCGTGTATTTTTGTTCACATCGCTTTCTGATCTCCGTGGCTCGACTTTCTTTCATGAGCCAAGTCCTCTCATCTTTTGTGGGAGGATTTTCCCTGAGTCTTCTCTCGTGGCTTAGTATTCTGAGTTGTTTATTCTATTTCCCTATAGTTTGTTTTTCCCTGTACTGAACGACGACCTACTGATATTTTGGTCGATTTTCATTTTGAAATCCTTCATTTTTGTTCTACTTATATCGACGTTGTAACACCTACCCTAAGCCGCCCAGCTAGCTTAACCTCATCAGTGGGTCCCGCATGACCAACTCGGTATCATGGAGCTCGCAGTCGTCTAGAACACACTGACATATCTCCTATTACGAAACGGAATGAGGGATGCAATGCCGCGCAACCCTGTCCCACAATACTGGCCACACTGGCCACACATGATCCTATATTTGAGAATTAAAAAAAACTGACGTTTCATGCAAGTTTTTCCCTTTACAGATATCAAAATAACTAGAGGAAGCAATATGTTAGCAGGGTACACTGAATCTAGATATTTCGAGTATTCTGGTCAACTGTTTACATATGCTTGAAATACCGGAATTCGGCCTGCGCTGTTGAAATTCGGTTTCTACTTGCTATTTTGAAAAAGGCTCGGAGAACGTGAACATAATTCTAGAATAGTCTATCAGATGCGCAGCCGTGAGTCTCACGAGTGCGATCTCGGCGTGATAGTTCAAGATGACCTCGGTTGTTTGAGGCAGACTGAAAAGGCATCTAAGAAAGCAAACCAGTACCTCGGCCTTCTTCGTAGAGCTTTCGGGAAGTTTGACCTTTCAGTCTTTCCAAAAATGCTTAGTGCGTACGTGAGGCCGTACGCGGAATACTCTATTCAAGTGTGGCAACCCTGGTTCAAGCACCATCTCACCGCGCTCGATACTGCACAACGTAGGGCAACGAAGAGCGTCAGAGCTTTGACCAGCCTCTCCTACCCACTCTGGCTGAAAACTCTCAAAATATACAGTGAACGTTATCGGTGTCTAAGGGGCGATCTCATAGTGGTGTACCTGATCCTGAGAAACCCCAACCACCCATGCCATTCCCTTCTACTACTCAGTCAAAACACCTCGCTAAGAGGTCACTAGTTTAAGTTAGTCACGCAGTACAGCCGCCTGGAATGTCGGCGAAACTATTTCTCCCTTCGAGTGGCACAGCCTTGGAACGCCCTCCCGGAACATGTAATTAATGCACCCACCCTATCTCTTTACAAAAAGCCTTGACGACACAATGTCACATTTACACTACGTGCTATAGCCCATGACCACCAGCTGCTGGCACTAATGCACAACAGACTGTGGATAGTGCCATAACCCTACTCGAGAATGAGTCACTCCAAACCCCTTGCACGAAATTTGATAAACGCTACTAATATAGTAACTGGATTTCTGTATCCTGTCGACCCAAGATAGTCGCACACGAGTAAGCGTTGTCCTTGTTATCTTTTTATTTTTCTCGCCTATTATGTGATCAATAACCATTCCCCTATTGCTTTGTGTGCGTACATTCTCATTTCAAACTCCTTTTATACGGCAGTGCAGTTAAAACTGTAATCGCAAACTGACGACTCCATTATCCCTTGATCTATCTTTTTTTGCACGCTAAACACCCTACGGCACATGTCAAGCACCTGCTTTCTTACCCGTTATAAACTATTGTTCATTATCAGAAGACAGTACTTGTTAGCCGACTAAATGTTTGACGTTGCTTAAGTATTAGGTAGCTCCTGAAGATGTGATCTGTACAGCCTTGATCTGATCGAAAATCACGTTTCTGCCCTCCTATGGTATTCTCACATGTTCGGTTTAGCGTCCAGACATTACAAACATTTTTCAGCTGCGGTCAATAGCATTACTGCAGACAGGGCCTTACTCTTTAGCTCTGTACTCTTGACTTGACGAGCATATCTGTTCTCTTCCCGCATCTTTTCAGGTAGAATTGTGTTTGCAGTTTTGCTCATGGCTCAGTTTGCTTAATGAACACCCCCCCCCCCCGATTTTGGCTTTCTCTGCATTCTTCTCTGGCCGGAGGGTGGATTGTTAATGCGTACGTATGTCGGGCACTGATGACTACCAGCTGTGCTCCTCATAGAAACACCAAGGTCATCTGCCATGTTCATCTGACCTGGCGGTCCATCAAACGCGACTGAGGACTGTTGAGAATACATGTTTTAATCCAAACGTGCGGTGCGACTATCTAGCCACAGAGCACATTTGATGACCTCAGCATGCGACCGTGAATGTGATTGAAAAATCGATGCGGACACGGTCTGCTTGGAGTCGGAGATTAGCAAGCACCACAGGCGACTGGAGGGTCGATTTTGGACTGCACGCTGTGTGATTGGATTGCGACGCACAATCTCAATGTGAACTGCGATTCACATTGAAGTGAATCTTGGTCACTGTGATCACTGGAACCGTGGCCGAAACTTGTCGTAGTTGTGCAGGGTTTTCGGGCGGGCAACACCCAATGTCCACCACGAACGATTTCTTTATTTAGCGGTAGAAATAACAGCGATTTTGACCTCGGTCATTGTTGAAGCACTGTTTTTTTGCAGTGTGCTGCGGATTTCTGGCTTTTGGAATATTTTGCGAATAAAAAGTCTCGTCTATCTAGCTTGCCTGGGCAATTTCATGAACTCATCTGTTGGTCTGCTATATTTGAACTTCTTGCTCACTTATTGTCGACTCGATATATCCTCATGGCCGTAACTAGTTTATACCCTGTTGATCCGAATTCTCTCATGTTTCTTTTAAAATCCTTGATAAAATCCTCTGAAGTTCACTTCTCCGCTTTTTAAAAGAGGCGCTGGCTGCGACATTCATGATGGCGGACCTCGCCGTTTGTGTTCACTACAGGGTGGCCAACTTTCCGCAGATAGAGACAAAGTTTTGAACCCTATTCTCGTCCACTATGTTTACTGAGAAGCGGGAACGCCGGATGAGCACGTTTTATAATGAGGTTGAAGATTATCTATCATCCTTGTCAAAATGAGTACCCTTCGGGGGTCGCATCGCTCGAATTTCTTGCTATGAAACCCGCATTCCTTATCATGTGTGCAGCACACGAAAAGCAATATATATATATATATATATATATATATCCGGTGTAAACCCGATGGAATAAGACCGGGAGGTATGTGGATGGGTGCCAGGTTTCATCAACGGAGCCGGCCCACACTCCTTCACAGGCAAACACAAGCACGATGTATTTGGGAATCAAGCGCACGCAAGGCGGTGGCTAGACCGTAGTCCGCTCCACACTGAGTGCATGGAACCACTCTTCGCGCTTAACACGGTCACGAGGACCGTGCACCCCGTGCCCTCTAGCAACGACCAACTGTCTCCTGGAGCCAGTATGGACGAGGTAGTGGGTAATGGACAGGTAGGCACCTTGTCAACATGCACATCAAGCGCTGCCACACCTAGGATATCAAGCAACAGCCAGTCACTAGAAACGACAATATCAAATAAAATCAATCGTCTAATACATACTGATACGATGATATAACTCTTCGGTAAATGAGCGTATGCAATAAATTGGTTGCAAAATTCCTCGGATGGTTCATTACGTAAGAAAATATATCTTGAGAAAATGCCACAACCGCGAATATGTTGTCGAAGTTAACTAAAGTGGTTTAAGGGACGTGTGCAAGTTTATAGAAGAGAGTACAGGTAGACATTAATATGAGATAGAAAAGTCTTAGGGCAATATAGCAAATATCACCAGTTGAAATAAAGAGACTTATGATGGAAGCACACGGTTAGTAAATCGAATGCAGAGTACCTACAAACGCTGCGCCTGTTCTGTCTACGTTCTCTGCAGGACCCGTCGTCGTTTCGGTAGTGGCCGCGAGTGGCCTCGCTCATGGCTCACTAGGCCTGCCTGACTCAGACACTCGCGACCGCATGTGCTACAGCACCACGCGCTCTATGTAGATGAAGTACAACCCATCGGCGCTTCCACGATTGCCACTTTTTCTCTGCATGCATCATTATTCATTATACACGTTAGCTAGAGCTGTAAAGCGCCTCAGGTACTGTGTCGCAAAACATAGAAGCAAAAAAGAAAATAAATACAACGGTTGCATACCAACTGCGCTACCAGCAATGGTTGGGCATCGTTCCGTAAAGCTAGCAGCCGGCTACTAGGCAATAAGATAAATTATTATGTAAGATTGTATTACGCTACGAAATGAGATGGTGGTTGAGGGGAGACTAAAAGGGATGGAGAGGGACCAAGAAACTCACAGCAAGAACGCCACTGAGGTCGGCTCCTGACCATGTCAGCAAGTGTATCTAGCCAAACGTGCTCATCGTCTTTTGGACCCCAACCAGGGAGCCGCGAGGCTCCAACCGAGGCCAGCTCCGAAGTGAGGGCCTTCATACCTTTGGACCAAGTCATCGCTTGGCCACCCCTCCTCTTCTTCTATTTACATCCCCGGTGAGCAAACAACACACGGCGCGGAAGTCGGTGGGCTGCCATGCGTAACACGTGACCGAGGCATCGGAGCCTGATGCTTGAAATGATGGTGCTGAGCGGTTCAGTTCCTTTTCCTGTGCCATAAACAAGGCGTCGAACACGCTCGTTGCTCACGCGGAGTTCCCACCAGATGTGAGCCAAACTGCGAAGGCACCGATGGTCGAATGTAACTAGCACTTCGAGCTTTCGCTATACGGTTTGTGATCTCTTCTTCGATCCCAAGAGCGACAGCCCTGGATACAGCATGTCCAGCAGTAACTGATTGTTATGTGATCGATTTGTGTCCATAGCTGGTTCGGGGCTGGTGGGCGCCAAATCACCTTCCGGCGAGGGCTGTGTCCGAAATTAGTGCTTGCAGGAAATAAGCGAGCATCTTCACAATGAAGTGACCGCTCACCGTTATCATTACGGGAGTCTACAGCGTGCTGACTGCTCAAATGCATGTCATCAGTGGACAACTTTCTAAGTTGTGCGCTCAGATCCCCCGACAGCACAAAGTGTCCGAGCTTCTTCTGTCCGAAGTAGGTCGTTCAATTGGCGATAGAAGTCGTTTTTTACCGAATCATCGCTAAAGTTTGTGGGTGCGTAGGCAGCGATGATGAATAGACACCTGTTAGTCCCGCGCGACTTCGAGGTTTTGAACGAGCCAGCCAATCGGACCGCACACATCCGGCTACTGATTGGAATCCAATCAACCAGATCAGCTTAAGCCTGGGGACTCAGGGCAATACCAGCACAGGCTTGACCGGTGCTCGAAGCTGCATCGTCACCGGATAGGCGCAATGAGAAAGTGCTGCTAGTGTCACCTGAAGGGGATCGCAGAGTGGGAACAGAGTTCGAGTCTTGCAGGCGGGTCTCTGAGAAGCAGCAGGTATCGATCGAGAGGGTCTCTTATGTTTGGGCAAGTGCTGCCTTTTGACCGATCTGAAGCAATGTGCATACATTGAGGCATGCCAGTCTGAAGGATGATCGAGGGCTCCAAATGGAAGTCGATGAACTGGGCTTCGCCGCTTGCTTGGACATTGGCTTGTCGATAGGACAGGAGTGACGCTCCGCGTTAGCATGTGAGTTGAAACTAAAAGATAAACGCCTAATAAACATGTTGGAGAAGGGCCAAGAATTGTGAGCTTGACAACTGGGGGGATAAAAGTGAAGTTGGAACGGGACTGTAAGAGTGAAAAAACGTAAGAAGACGGGAAGACTTGAACCCCTATGCACCCTGCTCGATGCAGCAGGTAAGGCACCGTTAATTATCCTCTGCGCTGACCAGAGCATCAGGAATTTATTTGAATAGAGATTCATAGCATTGCATGGGCAGGATACTGTCAGGTCGCCCAGGCCTAGACAGAAGAACGATTAGCGTTCTCAACCAAAGCCTTTGCTTCAAAAACGTGACCGCAAGACTGCGTGTTTGGCGTTGTGCTACAAGGAGTCCGTTTTAAGGAATAAGGTGCCACTTTCATTTCAACCCCCAACCTGGAGGACCAGGAGGCTGAGTTTGTCTGGCCTCTAACCATTGACCAATCTAGTGTGAGTGGATCTGAAGGTGCAAAAATTAGCACCACGCAGCATAGCTCAATGGATCACTGAGGCACACAAACCATCGCACCCCGGTAAGGTCCAGCCTCATTGCGATGGTTTCTCTGCATGCACGAGGGCTTTCTCTTGCCCATCGGCAATGGCCTTCGTCATTAGATCGCGCCATGCAGGCTAATCAACCGCTTTCGATTCCCATCACGTGCAATCAAGATTAGAACGTGAAAGGCTCACTTTGATCATGTCCTGGCAACGTAATTGTTGATAGTCGAATGATGCAATCCCTTGTTTATCTACTTTTTCACTGGCCCGAATTGAACCCTATTTGGAACAACTGTTTTACGGCGTGGTTGTACTAGCGGACTTCATATTTTCACCTACTGATTTGCAAGCAATGATCCGGAGTCTGTACACATTTTACTGTCTGCGATCTTGTACTTATTTATTGTTCCACGATCCGTTTAATGCACACTTTGCTACGATTAAAACCGTGAACTATGATTTTATTCGTCGTGACTTCTACGGGAAATTCCACATCGAGCTTGTTGCTCACTTTGACTTCCACTTCTGTTCTCTCGTTCCGACAGAAACGGGCATTTGGCACGAAAGACGTGGTGTAAATCGGAGCTATCTGAAGGCCTCCCTAACTCTTCTGCGCCTAATGCGACGGTTTTCAAGGATGCTTATCGGCAGAAAGCCACTGGCCAGTTAAACTTATTGCCCTCCGAATGGACGGATACGCGGAATACCCTGTACCAATTGTGCAATCGGGAAGTTATCCTTAAAACTAATAACCTCTCTGGGTCTCGCATTGGTGCACCTCCTAATGAACAGGATGTAAGTGGCTTGTTATTTCGAACATATATTCCTTCCCTGGATCCCATGTACATTTTACACTATTTTAACTTTCTGTGCCCCTCCTACTCACTTTTGTTCTATCCCTTCTCTAATGTTTTCCGTTCACTTAGTTTTGAATCCTTAGAATGATGTCTTTCACAGTGCTGTTATCCTTTTCCACCCAAATGTAAGCAAACGGCTCGTTTCCGGGTTTTTCGGGTACTCTCAATGTTTAAAGCGAGCAACACCGACCAGTCCACTGAGCACACGGTATGCTGTACGGCATGCATCTCAGCATGTTGTGCCTGTGTATACTTGCCACTAGCAACCCTTATCATCATCTCATCGGTGACCACCCCATGAGCTTTACTATCAATGCAGTATTTCCACGTCACGCTTCTTAAGCATCACCTACATTTTCGTGGGTAATTTTACTTTCCGTTATCCCTCTTTTGGTCTAGTTCGCTTCACCAGGTTTACTAATTTGGAATTTCTTCCCGATTGCTGTACTAAGGTGACGATCCATGTTCTCCCCAGCATCCGTCTTTTCATCTTGAATCTTTCGATGGTATTTGACTCTGTGTGGAGCGAAAATGTCGATCTTCTTTAGAATATGATCATGCTCACTATGTTTGCTATTTCCCGCATTTAATCTTTCATACCTTTTGACCTAACTATTAACGTCCATCGTCCACTTATCTGATCATCAGAATAAACCACCTATCCAGATTGATTACTTTTTCGACCAGAAGTTTACTCAGATATGCTCAGGTTGTCGCATAATTAATGTGTTATGGAAATGCGGATGCCCGAGGAACCGTTGCCTCATCTCTCTGACTTGCGGATAGTTCCGACTGGCGTTTCACATTGTTCAAGTTGCATTTCATCCTTCGGTTAGGTCTAACTCGAGTATTTATGACTTCATCATCTCTTCTTGCCCCTACTTTGACCACATCTAGTCAGACACACACCTATCTTTTCAGTCCGTTGTTTTCTATCTCTCTAACCGTGGAATTCTTCTATTGTTTTCCTGTGTGTTGTAAACTTGGAACAAGAGCGCAATCGTGTATGCAACTAGTACTCAACTGCTCCTGTTGCCTTACTCATCTGGGCGTTAAGCAAACATTGTTCTCGCCCTCGCTTTTATTGCCTATATCCCCTTCGTTTCCTTTGCTCGTTTGGCCATGGTAATATCCGTACGGTCTTCTTTCCCCGGTTCGCCATCTGATAGACCGCAATCTGAAACAGAAAGTAAGGAACAAGCTTGTTTTCAGGGCTTCATCATCAGGCTAATACAATCACAATAAAGCAAGCTAGAATAGACATAATGGGTTTAAATGCGGTCACTGAAGCAGTATTGTCGCACCCAGTAGACTCCGACCATCAAGTCAATTCGCATGGCGTATTCACACCGATCTACTGTGTCCCCGGACGTTACACACGTGTAGTCAGGTGTCGCCCGCTGTCAGCAACAGAGGCTATCGCAATTCGGTTCTATAACCCGGACCTGTGTGCACAGAAAAAAACTCGTCCATACTTTAACCCTGCCTTGGCCTCAGACCAACGCAACTAACAATGACCGTCGCGCCACTTCACTTGCCCTCACCTCAACCAGACCAAGCACGTTGACTTATCGATTAGTTGCTCCGCTTCAGTGACCGCATTTAAACCCACTGTGTCTATTCTAGCTTGCTTTATTGTGGTTGTATTAGCCTGGTGATGAAGCCCTTAAAACAAGCTTGTTCCCTACTTTCTGTTTCTGATGTCGTCTCCGGGAATTATTTCTCAATTGAAACAGGCCGCGATCTGTCTCAGCTCTGTTGGTTGAACCCGGTTTCCACCTGTTCACTCGTCTTATTCCTATCCGAACCGAAACGGCTTACCGGTCACTGCACCTGCGCAGTTCATTTGCTGTTCACGGGATTAATGGATAACGGAGACACACTTGGCCTTTTCTAGTTTTTCCTTGACTGTTCACCGGTGCTTTGCTCCCGGATGTTTGTTTAGTTTTACGATCCCGTTCGGGTTTTCATTTGGTCACGTATGTCTTTCCACCGTGGTCCAGTGTTTTTCGGCTAATCACCCAACCTCGTATCTCTCTCCTCCGGAAGGTCTCTGTCTTTCAAAGTTCGTTGCTGATTCTCCGCTATGGAATTTGGATAAATACTGAATACTGTGTATAGAGAGCGAGAAGATAAAATTCTCTGTTGCTCCATCGTAGGTGAATCGGGCACATACGCGGAATCATGTCGCTGATTCCCGCGCGGTTGCAGCATAGTGCAGCTGCATTACATCTTATCCGGGTGCGATACGCTCCCCATACCTTAGTCCACAAAGTGGGCATCACGAAGTCACTTAAATTACGACACCGATTTTGCCTCGACTAGCGTCTTCGGGAATTTGTTCCAGTCATTCACCAATCGACGCTCGAGACATAGAGGGTGAACGATGTACTTTAAATCCGGTACCACTAGTTTGTACCGGTGTCTGCATGTGCTGGTCGGTGTGTGAATGTGCAACAGCGGCCTCAGCATAGAGAAGTGGCCCAGGTGCAGTATCCGGCGAGTCCTAATGTAATCAATTCGAAGCCGACGAAATGGCAGGGTATAAAGCCCTAGTCTCCTACATCGGTCATCGTAAGACATACCCCTTAAACTGGGATGAGCCGGGTAGCTACATGCTGGACCCGTTCCATTCTCTGCACCTCACCTATTGCGATCGGGCAATAGGCGGGTGAGCCGTACTCGAGCACCGGCGAGTGACAATCTCTTTAGACAAAATGCAGAAGTGCCCAAAGCAGGCGTAGTTCGTTTGCGTACATTCTGTTCGTGTTGTCGATAGACTTCAGACCACTGTGTGTGTACGCCTAGGTCGTTTACGGAACTGGTGGGATGCAGCTGGTGGCCGGCCATTACTTCCCCTCCCCATGCTCATAAACGAGGACCTGGCCGTGTTGACCGGTAGGTTGACTTCTGCAGACCACCGGGATAGGCGGTCGAGGTCCTGCTGAAGGACGTCAGTCGCCAAGAGAATCAGCAATCCTCCAAATCTTCAGATCATCTGCAAATAATGCGCAGGGTGACCGAAGAAGCTGAGGTACTTCGTTGATGTGGATCAGATATACAATGCGTCCCAGTACTGTGCCTTGAGGTACGCCGCTAGTGGACGGGTACCATTCCATTAAGTGGTCATCCACCTGACCTCGCCATCTTCTCCCATTAAGGAACTCACTGATCCACTGGTGCAGTGCGTCACCAACACCACACATCCTTAGCTTGTGGAGCAGGACCTCATGGCCCACTTTCTCAAAAGCTCGACTGAAATCAGTTTAGATAACATCCACTGACTTTCCCCGGTTCAACGCTTGCAACCATTCCTGCCTCGTCAACAGCAGGTTGGTGATGCACGAGCGGCCCTTCATAAAGCCGTGCTGTGCCGGCGTTAGGAGATCTTTCGATTCCAGCAGCTGGAGGAGACCATTTTTGCAATCTTGAGCACTTTCGCCGAAACAGCGGTGAAACAAATCGGCCGGTAATTGTCCACATTGCGTGGGTCACCACCTTTTGGAATCGGCTTCACTACCGAGCATTTCCAGTCGTTCGGCAATGAGCCCTCGGACAGTGATCTCTTGACCAGATCCGTCACGACAGGCCTGATGATGGCTGGTAAGGACTTCAAAATTAGCGAGTGAAGTCCATCGCGTCCGGCAGCTTTTGTGCCATCAAGATTGGCGAGTAGACTGCGGACATCTTCTCCACCACAATCCATGTCTTCGAGTTCGGCATAGGCACACGCCTACTATATATATGGAAGCGAAATGCTCCGCCACCACCTTTAGTGCTGGAGGTCAGCGGCTCTCCGTCAATGCCCTCTAACACAGGTACGTCACTTGCGGGCCTCAGGCGCCGCTTCACGTAAGCAAAACTTTTGTTGGGAACCGTCTTCGCTGAGGTTGCAAGCTCCTCTTCGAACTGCCGACGCTCTTACGCTGTTGCATAGATTCCGCTGCCTCTTGTACGCCTCATAATCGTCGGCAAAACCAGGGACGATGAATTTATTCCACATTTCGCGTCGCCGTCGAGCCAATTGCTCATACTCTCTGTCGAACCAAAGTGGCTACACTGGTCCAACTTTTCGATACTTGAGGGGTACGAAACGAACGCACACCTTCTTTTATAACAGATCAACAGGCTTCAACAGATGAATCCCGCGGCGGCGACCAGTCTACTTCACTGGCGACTCGATTTAAACCATTGAAGTCGGTCTTTCAATAATTGTAAGAAGGCTCCGGCAGACGCGAGTAAGGCAGCTGCAGCTCTAAGCTGGCTAACACCATCGGGTGTTCACTAGCTGCCAGATTCTCCGGGACCTGAACTTCATATACACATTGCTCGTAAATCGTTAGTACTAGGTCCGGGCACGGTGGAGCGGAATGCGGTGTAACGCACGTCGGCTGGCAGTTTCAGATACCAACTCCGCAAACTGCGCCTCGACTTCACAGTGCCCGGGGCGAAGTTGAACCCCCGGCCACTGTATTTGAAGGAAGTTAAAATCACTCATAAGCAGGAGGCGGGGCCGACTCATGTAGTTTCTGGCATGCAACGACCAATCAAGGCATCGACTTCGCGGGCCGCGATAAGCAGCACCCACAAACAGTTCGCCCTGTCTCAGGCGGATCGGGCACCATAACTGTTCGCGCAAGCCATCTTCGCTACGGTAGGTGTGTACCAGTTTCCCGCACAGCGAGGACCGAATGTATAACAGCATGACGCCTCGATCCTTTGATAGTCTGTCGCACCGGAAGCACGAGTAGCGCCTGATCTGGGTAGTGACCTCAGGATTTAGCCAGGTTTCGGCCAGTCCTAGCACGGGCGAACGACGTGAGGCAACGAAGTAAAATACTTTGTTACCTTTGTTCAATAAACTACTAACATTTGTGAAGGATACGCGCAGACCGCGGCAGGAGCTGGCAGACGCGCATGAAGCTTCATCGATCTGTT